AACCTTTATATCACTTTTTATTACTTGTATCCATATTTTTTATGGTCTATTTATAAAAGTTTTAGTCTCTCCTAAATTTAAAAGCTCATTTCTCATAACTGGTACATTGCTAGGCATATGTTTCACATGTTCAAATCATCTCAAATGGCCCTCTCTTTTTTTTTTTTTCCTCAATTTAGATTACTTCTAATTTTTTTTGAATTAATTGCATATTTTACACATCCATAAGTATTATGAAAATTTTTCCTAATAGTCTAATACTCAATTCCATATAACAACGCAGACTTTAAAGTTCATTTTATACAACTTCACTTTAAACTTTAAAAGTATGTCATGCTCAAACAATAAACTCGACACTACTTCACCACCTCACTTATCCTACTTGAATCCTATGATTTATATCATTTTCTATCTCAGCATCGCTATGAATAACTGATCCTAAATATTGAAAATAACTACTCTTTAATACTATCTCACCATCCAATTTGATTACACCAACATTGGCTTTCTTATTATTATTAAACTTATATTTCATATATTTAGTTTTAAGTCTACTTGATTTAAAGGTTTGGGACTCTAGTGTATGTCTCCATAATTCTAATTTAGCATTAAGAACATCTTTAATTTGAGAAAAAAATTAAAACAAAGGAAGTTATAAATAAATTCTCATTTTGATTTTTTTTTCTATTTATCTCCTATCAAACAAAAAATAAATAAATAAAAGAAAGTTATTTTTCCTTCCCATTTTTTCTTTTATTAAACACAATATTATAAATCAACTTTAGATTCAAAAAATGAAAAGAATAAAAGAGTCTGTGACCTTGTGTCTTAAAATAAAATTTTGCAATTCTAGATATTTAAGTGTAAACAATAAAATAAATTAGGTGAAATAATAATATAGTAGACATTTTATTTATTTCACATTTGCAAAAACGTTGTTACTTGATGCATATCCTAAAAGTTGGATGAAAATATGGGAATCCATATGACAATTTTTTTTTGGAAGGCATTGTCACATTGATAAATATTATTATTTGTACTTTAAATTAGAACATTGTATTATATTATATTTCATATATATATATATATATATATATATATATATTAGCATGAATACTATTGTTGTTTACAACTAGAGGTATCAAAAAGTTGGATTGGGTAAGGTCCAAGTTAACACCATCATATGTTTCTCCAAGGTTAAATCTAACTTGTCTATTTAAGCTAAACAACAATAACAATAACAAACCAAAACTTATAACTCATAATTTTGAGCTCGGTTAAATGAAAAGTTAAAAAAAAAATTATGTTAGGTCGTAATTTTAAATTTTCTTGCATCACTTATTTTTATAAAAAAATAATATTTTTATTATTTTCTTAACTCTCATATCATTTTTTATTAATTGTATGCACATCTTTCATTGGCTATCTCTAAAAGTTTTGATTTTTCCTAAATTAAAAGCTTATTTGCCTTAACCAATGTACAAATTGCCTTATGTTTCACATGTCTAAACTATTTTGAACGACCTTCTCTTACTTTTTTTTTTCAATTCGAATTACCTTTAATTTAAGCTCATATTATTCAAATTTATTATTAAATATTTTAAAATTAAAATTAAATAAAAATCATTTTATAATAAAATATTTTCTTAAACCAAATCAAGGTAAGGTTAAAGTTGAAAACCTTTATACAAGACTCAATTTATGGACAAATCTAGTTATGAAATCTTTTACATTGATAATTCATATCTTAGATGGAAAATTAAAAAATTTTGAAAAATGAAATCTAAAAGAGAAAAGAATAAGAGGAAAATGGAAAGATGGTTAATATTTAGTCTTTTTTTTTTTTTTGTCAAATATTATATAAATAAATACTAAAAAAGAGAGATATAAAACCTTAAATTCACTGATACGAAGCTCAAGTACTATTTTGGGCCAAAGAAGCCCACATATGTTTGGATATGTTTAGATAACGTGCTTTTCGATATGATATGTCCCTCCAAACCTACGTGAGAGTCTAAACCAAAATGCAAGTCCATTCCTACTCTCTTCAATGCTCAAATTTGAGTGAAGGCTGGTGCAAAGATTGTTATTTTATATTCCAAAATTGACTGTGTCTGGTATTTTCTTGTTATCCCAAGGTTCTTAAACACCCCTGGAAAATATAACAGAACAAGCACATGATCTAATAGCTATTAACATACCTTTACTGGCTAAGCTGAAAATCCTATAGCTAACCGAGTGACAATGTAACCCATGGGCTGTTTCCTCATCTTATAAGCTGGAATTATACGGGTTTCCTAGCACTCCAAATCAAGCTTCCTTGGGTCTGTATTTGCAATAATGTTTCTTGGGACGACTCTTGCCAATTTTTTGATATAAAAAAGTATTTAGTTTAAAAATTAAAGAAAAGATTGTATGTATTAAGATTTAAATTTTAAATTTGTTAAATGTTAATTTTTTAAAAGTAATTGTATAAATTAATTAAATTAAACTTATTTAATTTAATTAAAACATGTAGAATCCAATCTTTGACGAAACTTAAACTTAATGAGCTTGCTTGGAAGAAAAGCCTGTCAAAAGACCCAATCGTGAAGACCTAGTATTCTAGAACCATTTTCTCCAACTTCACTTGAAAGCAACATCTGAAGCTAAATCTATACATTAGGCCCCCCAATTCCCTCCCCAAATCCCACCCACCTGTTCTTCTCAACATCTATTGGAAAGCTGAGTTATCAACAAAAGATGGCTTTCTCCTTGTTTTCAAAATTCTCCATCCTAACATTCATTGCATCCATCGTCATGTTTTCTGCCCTGGCTCATGATTTCTCCATAGTGGGTTATTCACCGGAGCATTTGGCTTCCACGGATAAACTTATTGAGCTCTTTGAATCATGGGTATCGAAACATGGGAAAATTTATGAATCCATTGAAGAGAAGCTGCTAAGGTTTGAGGTTTTTAAGGATAACTTGAAGCACATTGACAAGAGGAATAAAGAAATCAGTAGCTATTGGCTTGGGTTGAATGAGTTTGCTGACTTGAGTCATGAAGAGTTCAAGAACAAGTATTTAGGACTCAAATCAGAGGTTCTCAGAAAGAACCAATCACCTGGAGACTTCACTTACAGAGATGTGACTGACTTGCCAACTTCTGTCGATTGGAGAAAGAAAGGAACTGTTACCCGAGTCAAGAATCAAGGTTCTTGCGGTAAGCATATGCTCTCTCTCTCTCTCTCTCTCTCTCTTTGCATATGTAAATGGTCTTCTTGGGATCAATGCATAGCAATTTTTATGACAACATTGCGAAACATGAATGCAGGTAGCTGTTGGGCTTTTTCAACGGTAGCAGCTGTTGAGGGCATAAACAAGATAGTAACAGGAAACTTAACTTCCTTGTCGGAGCAAGAGCTGATTGATTGCGATACATCTTTCAACAATGGCTGCAATGGAGGTCTGATGGATTATGCATTTGAGTTCGTCGTCGCCAATGGTGGACTTCACAAAGAGGACGACTACCCGTACCTCATGGAGGAAGGCACCTGTGCAGAAAACAAGGTAGATACAATATTCATATATAAACATTTGATGAAACCTAAGCCCTACATTGTCATGTACGCATTGGGTTATTACATAATTATGCCTTTGGTTATCTTCAGGAGGAAATGGAGGTGGTGACAATAAATGGTTACCACGACGTACCAGAAAATGATGAGCAAAGTCTGTTGAAAGCCCTGGCTCACCAACCACTCAGTGTAGCCATTGAGGCTTCTGGCAGAGATTTCCAATTCTATAGTGGGGTAAGCTTGTTAGCTTTTCCACATAATCTGTCTCATAGCATACACGTTACAGGATTTCTCAGTCCTAATTTACGAAATGGATGTTGGGGGGGGGGGGGGGGGGGGGTGTTTGCAGGGTGTATTCAACGGGCAATGTGGAACTGAACTAGATCATGGAGTAGCAGCAGTTGGCTATGGAACATCAAAGGGGTCAGATTACATCATCGTCAAGAATTCTTGGGGACCAGAATGGGGAGAAAAAGGGTACATTAGGATGAAAAGGAACACAGGAAAACCTGAAGGTCTCTGTGGTATCAACAAAATGGCTTCATATCCTACCAAGAAGAATTGAAGAACTGACCTGAAAACTTTGTTTTTTTTTTTCTTTTTTTTTCATTTAAGCTTTTTCCATAGTTAAAATTTGTTGGCCTACTCTTGCCAATGTTCCTCAGTTAATAAAAATGGCTAAGAATTTCACTTTAATAGCTTCCTACTCATATTGAGAAATCACCTTGAAAACAAATGATTTTATGATGATTTGCAGGCATCCACTCCGGTCATATTTTTTTGTAAAGATAAATTGAACATATTAAATTGAACCACATTTTAATCAGAATAATAATCTTCTGTTTTTTGGTTTTGTTGCACTGGTTACGAGACCAACAAACCCAATGGGCTTAGGATCTGGAAGGGCCGCAACATCGCTATGGATAAGCAAGTCCAGAAGGTACCCTGAGCTAGAACAGTAACTTTTTCAGCATTAAAAATAAATAAAAATAAAAAAGGGAAAAAACCCCCTCTCTCATGTGGATTATAATGAAAAATTATCTCATACCTGATGATAGAACTTTTAAACTCTTCTAGTAGAGACGGGGCAAACGGATGAGTTTAGGCGGTTCCGACCATTTGAGTTTTTGCTAGTTTCGAGTTTTGAGTAATTACATTTTTTTTTTTGGATTTGAATCTTTTCATTAAATCATTTCGAATTCAGATTCGAAATAATCACATCATTTTTTTAAAATTTTATCAGAAAATGTAACATTTTAATATTTTTTAATACGAATCAAATTTTTTCTGATCATTTCTGAATTCAAATTTTTTTAATTTTGAATTTTTTATTTCTTTATCAAATCAAGTTGATTTTTTTTTTTTTTGAATTCAGAATCTTTAATTTTTTTATTTATCAAATCAAGTTCAGATTCTTTCCAACAATTTTGGGTTCATTTTGCCATCTATATTAACACGTAGGATACCCGTTGCTTTATATATTTTGTATGCCCCTTTCTCACTTTGTTTCTAAGATGAGTTGCTTGGAGGCTAAATTCCAAGCCGGCTTGCCATCCACATACTCCGGACGCTATCAGCATTTTGTTGGACCTCACTCCTCAGTTGTTATTTCATTTGACAAAAGCATGATGATGTGAAGACCAAGCATAAAGCCTATGCATTATAATTTTTCTTTAATACTTCATATTAAGAGATATTCAGCATCCAAGTTTACATACATGCATAGAATAAAAATCAAACGCATGCAACTAGTTTTTACATTTCATTATTGGTGGAATGGCTGCTTTTGACGTTCAAACATAAAGTTTCTAGGCACTACGACCAGAAAATATATGCATTGAAAGATAAACAAATTGCATTGAGAAGAGTAAGCAAGAATGGCATTATCAACCCAAACCTTCATTGTATTTAAAGACACAATCGTACAGCCTTCCTCCAAGAAACTGAGCAACTTCTGGATGTTTCACCTGTAAAAAAGGGTGACCTATAATGTTCGATGAAATTTTGCAATGTCCTGTTAACTGAAATGCTGCAAAAGGAATGTAGATAGAGGTGAAACCATTACCATTCCGATCTTAAGGGAATCGCACTTAAACCGAGCGTAAAGATTAGTCTCTATTCCACGACCCTGCAAAAAAAGCAATGAATATATCAAAATACCACATACAGTTTGTCAACAAGGATACAACCCGAGCATAGAACATGCAACTGCACATATAGAATAATGATAGACAAACCTAAACTAAATAAAATATAAACCACAGACAGCAACTTTGTCAACCTATTCAACCAATACGTGATAAAGATTTTATCATTGATGATTTTGCTCATCATTAAACATGTTAAACACTGACTCAATCTATAAACAACATTATAATCCATCCACTTACCTATTTGGACTATAGATAACACTGTTTGTATAGCTGGGGTTCAAGTTTGGTTCTTGTCAAGTTCTCAAAGTCATAAAGATTTAACATGAGCAAACAAATAAAAATTTTCAACCCAGAAATCTTCTGGACATTAACTTAAAGTTGTGGAATATGAAAAACCTACCATGCCTTCCAAAATAACTAGGCCTGCATCACTTGCCAGGTAGGCAAGCTTTTGTGATACTCTTGTAAGATCAATAACCTGCAAAAACAGAAGAGACTATTACTTCAATAACCAACAAATAAATTGTTTATTGAGTTGGGATGCATTAGGCAAATAGCACAGCTGCATCTTACCGGTAAATCATTACCAGAATTGGCAGTCAAAAGATTTGAGGTATCAACACCAACAAGCTTACCATCTTCATCCTTCAACTGGTAAATTAGCATTTAATGTCAGATTAAACCAAAAAAGTAAAAAAAAAAAAAATCATGATTCCAATTCTGTTTTTCTTTACATCACCTTTGATATAATCTCAACCAGCTCAGAATAAGTTACATCATTGATGGAAGGTAAGTCATTAGCCGCCAAAACAACCTGAGCAAATAGGAAAAAATGACATACTAATTGATTTTTTTTCTAATGAATATCTACCCTTACTTAAGATTGATCATACATCAGGAAACAGTGAAATGCTTTTGTAAAGCAAAATCTATGAGTAATTTAATTTTTTAATTAATAAGAAACCACACATTGAAAGAAAACAATAGTGACTAACTCAGAATCATGTCATTTTTAATCTTGATAGTTTAATCTACTCTTAGCATCCTGGTATGAGGATACATAGCACTATTAAATTGAAAGTAGGAAGACAGCTTCATGACACTAAATATATCTGAGACAGACTTAAAGATTGTTGAAACCATTAACACATGGATGACAAATTTTGAAGCTTCTTTTCTTTTTTATTGTTTTCCATATTATCAGTAAACAGAAACTTTGTTTTTTATAAAAGAAGAACAGAAACTTATAACACCCATACACATGCATATGTATAAAATATATATCATCGAAAATATACATGAAAAAGTTCTTGGGATATTGACTACAAACCTGGGTCCCACGTCGGAGCAACTCTCTTGCAAATGGCAAAATACCCAAGATCACATCTGCACCAGAGTTGTCAACAAAAATGACTGCCTGCCATTGCAAACAAAAAAAATTAGTTGGGAAATAAGACACATGTACAACAGCATTAACTTCTTTCAACTTTATTCAAAAAGTGAGCACTGCAAATAGAAAAAATGTTTTGCTAAATTCAATATGTACGGACTGGCCTTTTTCCAAGATTTCTTGCTCCATTTTGCTTTAAAAATGTCCAAGTCATCAATGACCCAAGGTCGAGGAACAAGATTTTGACAACTAGCTAAAAAGGACATTCCATCTCTTGAGAAAACCTCAGCAAGCTTCAAAAGGAGAAAGAAAATAGTTCAAACAAAAAGTAAGTACCACTGCAAAAGTTATCCCTATGACAATAAATTTAATTCAGAATGAGTATCGATACCACATAAATCATCTCAACCAGATTGCATGAAACATGGTATAGCATAGGCCGAACAAAAGAGAAGATTTTCATTTATCAATGATAGTTCATCCATGGGCAAAGATGACCATGGCAACAATAAGAAAACCATGATCTAAGCGAAAAATGTTAAAAAGGAAAAAAAAAAAAAAGGGTCTCAGGAAGCATGAGAAATACAAGACAATTTCTGTTGTAACAAATCCAGATAAAGCCAAGAGATTATTATGATTCAAGTTGCCTATCTAAGACAACTGTCGTTCAATTCTTGATGGAGATCAATTCTAAACATAATAAGTTTGAAACCACACCAACAAATACAATATGGCACATAGAGTGAGTGTAAATACTTTTGACGATAATGATGATTGATGAGGTCAATATCACATTATGATTGAACTACCTGTGCAGAACCAAGGTCGAATATGTTTCCAGCAAATATTCCTCTAACCAGATTCTCCAGACGCTTCCCTCCTTCTTCAATATTATCATTAAGACGAACTACATCCGGAAATAGGGAGATGGCCTTCGCATTTTCTTCATCCTGTTGCAAGTTTTCCAAATAAGAAGAACATGGTTAACAAAGAAGAACAGCATAAAACACTGGCAACTATATATCTTAATGCCTAACGCCTCCATTTCCTTCTTTTCTCACATTGCAAGTTGAACAATAGAAATTGTAAGATGAACATAACAAGTATATGCGCACAATCCCTCCTTCCATCCGCAATGTTGGTTTTGTTTGTCATTCCTTGAAAAGGTATCAGTTTACTACAAAGAAAATAAAATCACCAGTATTGTCCATCCAAGTTGATATATTTTCACTCATCAAAATTATATAGTTATAAATCGGTATTCTGACTGCTTGAATGTAAAACTACAGTTTTTAACATTGCAAGAAGCTGTAGCATATAGTGTTAATACTCACTTTGACTTTCTTGAATATATCTCTAAATCCCAATTCTCTAAGAATCTGTTCGCGAAGTCTGCAGAGAAGCTACATAACCCCAAAACTAACATGAGTGAACACATATCTTCAAGAAAAACCATTCTGAAATCCATGAAGTAATATGTAGAAATTAGTTTCAAGAAATTTGACTTACAATACAATCAGGTGGCCCGCCATGGCTTTCAGGATCTTTCTTTAAGTCGTCAAGTATCTCTGCATACCTATCACAAAATTAAGGAAACAAAAACACAAATGCGATAAAAAAAAATACTGAAGGAGACGGTGGCAGATGCTTAAGAGCAACCACTTAGGCATGCTTTGGTAGAGAAGCACAAGAAATTTAGGGGGTAAAAAGCCAATACCTTTGAGCAAATTTCTGAGCTTTAGCTGGAGCATCAGCCACAGTATTATCGCTCTCAGCTCGTTTCCTGCATCAAATTGAAGTAATGAGAATAACTCTCGAGAAAACACAGATAGTAAAATTTCATCATTTTAGTCTATCATTACCGCCTAATTATCAGCAAAGCAATTTATTAAAAATAAAAATTAAAAAAAGGTAAAATTCATCAAAACAACAATCATTAGAGTGGAATAACCTAATCGGAGAACCTCAAATTACCCATTTTTTTCAGAAAAAAAAAAAAAAAGAGAAGAAAGCAAGATACAGAAAGAGTGGAAATAAAGAAAACGAAAAAGGGGTACTTGAAGGAGGGAATGGAATTGCGGAAGAGGTCGATCCAGGCGATTTCGGTAGGGGTAGCCTTTCGAGGATTATCGGAAGGGAATCTGTAGGGAATGGTGCATGCCCTGTAGTTGGATTCGATGGGCGTCGTCAACAATGGAAACACCACCATCCCTGAGTCGCTCTCCATCCCTTTTCTTTTCTTTGCCCAGTAGCTAACCCCCACGCTAAGATATCCTATATAGATCCTCCCTGAAGGTTTAGGTGTTTCTTCTATTTTCTCTTCTCGCAAATGTTTAGCAATCAAAGTAAAACCGACATGAACACGAGAGTTAAAGAGAATCTCTTCTACTATTTATAAATATCGAAAAAAAAAAAAAACATGCTTTTTGTTTGTTTCCTTTTTTAGGCACGTTTGAGGATGCGATGTTTCTCTACTTCAATCGTTTCTTTCTCATGTTGGAATAGACCGTCAAACCAATGTCTTCCTTTTTTGCGTTAATTAGTAAGTGTTTCTTTTATGTTAATTAGGTAAGAACTCGTGAGATGTTGCGGGTTATTTACTTCTAAAAAAAATAATTAAAAAATTAAATAAGGATGCGTAAATATTCAAATTGATATTTTATCTGGAATTAAGTTAATATTGGTTTTAAAAAATATATTTTTATTTAATTGAAATAGATAGAAATTTATTTGATATTTCTGTCAATTGACTTATTTTATTTTAAAATCTATTTAATAAACATATTGAAAAATATGAAATAAATAAATAAATGAAGGTGTTATGTGACATCTTAAGTAACATTTTTTAATAAAATTTAAATAAAATTAAATAAATATAAAATATATACTACGGAGTGGTTTGGATAAAGTATTCTAAATTCATTGTTTATTCATCCCTACTTTTCTATAAACAAAATATCCCATTTGATTCAATACTAATTTTTAAAAAAATGCTCATTATTGAGATTAATTTAAATTTATTGGATTATTTTATCAAACAAAAATATGGTGGCTTAATATTTTTTTTGTTTGCTATCTCTATTTTTTTCTAATTTATTTATTAAAAAATGAAAAAATCTACATAAGGGTGACATATGAATAACTAAATTGACATCTTATTATCACAAAATATATCTAATTAAACAATAAAAATCTAAAACAAAAGAATTTATAGAAAAGAAAAAAAGCAACAAAAAAGTAAAAAATAACCCATAGAATGTATCGCATAGGCAACCCCATAAAATATTAAATAATAATTTTATTAATATAATATATATAATATAAAATTCACTTAATAATTAAATATATTTTATATTTACCATAAAATAAGTTTGGATAAAGTATAATAAACAAACTTTCACCTTAATGTCATTTTTATAAAAATATTAATTTTTAAATTAAATTATTAAATAATAATTTGATTAATTAAAAATAAAAACAATAAAAATAAAATAGGATGTTACGTTTATACATTCTTTTTTTTTTTCAAAAAATGATCTTATTTAAAAAAAAGGAAAATAAGATAAAAGAAAAAATAAAAGGAAGAAAGTTGAATTACCACAAGATATTTGAAATGATGAATTTTTTTAAAAAAAAAGATTGAAAAGGGAAAATAAAATCAAATTCGAGTGTCACATCAATACATCTGCTAATATTTTTTATTAAAAACTATCAAATTAAAAGAAATAAAACCAAAGAATATGAAAGTATATGTTTTAAATATTCATGTCAAATGGACCTATAATAAAGAAATTTTTTTAAATTTTTTTTTAAATATTAATTTTAAAAAATAGCTAAAAATTGAAAAAGCTAAAAAGTGAGTTAAATGACTTTTTACCTGTGGCAAATTCACATACTCTTGATATCAAATAGATTTAAAAAAATAAAAATTATTTATTAAATATATAAAAAAAAGAAATAAAAAGTTAAAAAAATAAAACATATGACGTACCATTGATATCAAATGAGTCTAAAAAAATAAAATAAAAAGTTATTTTTAATTAAAAAAAAGTTAAAAAAAATGCAAAAGAAAAGTAAAAAAAAAAAATTGGCATAAGTGTTTCACAACACTACAAGAAAATCTGATATATAATAATGCTCAAAAAAGCATTGGTAAAACTTCAAAATCCATCAGTATAACACCGTAAATCCTATATCAACGGTCAAAATATGTATTCCTACAAATTTTTAACTGTCAGTATATCTCTTATCAATATAGACCTATACTGAAGGTTTTTAATGTGTCGAAATAGCTTACAAAGATATACCTACAGTTCAAGACCATCAGTAAATGTATATTTGTTGGCGTAACATCTGTTGTGTGTTATACCATTATACATTTTACCGACAGTTAACACTTGTCAATATAAACTTGTATGTTTTAATTTTTCTCGCTTATACCAACAGTTAATGGTCGTCAATATAGACTCATATGTTTTAATTTTTTTCAACTTATACCAACGATGTCTCTATTAGTATATCTTTTACAAATGGTCAATACCCATGAGTATAGTCTTATGTGTTTTAACTTTTACCAATAGTCCGTGATGACTGTTAGTATAGCCTAAAATATTTTAATAGTAAAATACGTCGGTATAAATTTTAAGGCATCGGTAAAATTTTTTTTGAATTATATTTTGAATTATTAATATTAATTGATTTATAATCATAATATGATATTGTTTCATATAAAGTAAAAATACACAAAAAAGTAAAATATTTAATAACATTTGAAACAAAACAGCAACCAAATTATTTTATAATCCACAAATTTAAAATAAGTTAATAACTAACATCATTGTATCAAATCCTAAAAAAAAAAAAAGAACATTAATATCTATAATTGAATGTCTACAAACATGGTGCTCAAAGTTTGCATCAAAGAATCTTCCTAGTACTATTACTAATGGCTGAACCTCAAATTTTCTATATATATTCCTAATAATGTTTTGAAGATTGCTCACATCATATGCATATTGATTTGTTGCAACTCTTGTTCCAATGCCAAAGCCACATAATTCATTTCCCAATTAGCTAGATTGTTATTTAAGAAATTCCTATAAAAGCGAAGCAGGCATTTTTCAAAAAAAAAGATTTTTTTTGTAATGTTTTTATTTGAGAGGCCTAAGGATAAGCTGCTTACTAGATCAAGAAGAAAAGCTCTTCCCTAGCTACATGTTTCATAGTCACATTTATCAAGAAGCCACCAATTCACAGTAGAACAAATGAAGTTTTCATCTATTTTTTCTATTGAAATTGTTCCATTAACAAAAATAATGCCCTAATAACATTTTTAGGCCTTTCTCTACTTTTCAAGGTGACAAAGACTGAGCTAGATTCATCCAATATAGTCAAAAATACAAAAAAAAAAAAAAAGGCATGCTTGATGACACAAAATTGAAATGCAAAAAATGAAAAATACCTTTGAGAAATGATGAGAGTCTCGATGCTTCAAACTTTGATTCAGCTCTAAAACAAAATGGATGCCAATGGGTTTAAGTTTGTAGAGTCAGTGCGAGGTGGAGAAAAAATATGATTTAAATTCATAAGCTCATCATCTTTTTTGGGATTATTCAAAGCGTTTTTTGCCAAAAACGCATGAATAATTCCTTACAAAAAATTCAATTGGGTTATTCAAGGTATTTTTAACCAAAAACGCATTGAATAATTCTGTCAATAAATTGTTATGAATGATTATTGAAAAAAATTTTTGGCCAAAAATACCTTTATTAATCCCCTCAATAAATTTTTATGAGGGATTATTAAAGGCATTTTTTATCAAAAACATTTTCAATAATCCCTTATAAAATTTTTCAAGAGATTATTAAAGGCATTTTTGACTAAAAATGCCATTAATAATCCTCTTAATAAGTTTTTATGAGAGATTATTGAATGCATTTTTAATCAAAAATACCTTCAATAATTCCCTTAATGAATTTTTATGAAGGATTATTGTAGGCATTTTTTTGTCAAAAACACTTTCAATAATCTTTTCCAAATTTTTTCAAGAAATTATTGAAGGCATTTTTAGCAAAAAACGCCTTCAATAATCCTTTCTAAATTTTATTGAGAGGGATTATTAAAGGTATTTTTGGACAAAAACGCATTCAATAATCTCCTCTAAAATTTTTCTAGGGATTATTGAATGTGTTTTTGACAAAAAATGCTTTCAATAATCCCTTCAATAAATTTTTATGAGGGATTATTAAAGACGTTTTTGATAAAAAAAAAAAAAAGGGCCTTCAATAATAATTTTTAAATTTTTTCAGAGGATTATTGAATGCATTTTTTGTTAAAAAAAACCTTCAATAATTTCTTTAATGAATTTTTATAAGGGATTATTGAAGATATTTTTGGCCAAAAATACCTTCAATAATCCATCTCTAAAATTTTTTATATGGATTATTGAAGGCGTTATGACTGAAAACACCTTCAATATTCTCTCTCCAAATTTTTGAATGGATTATTAAAGACGTTTTTGGCTAAAAACGATTTCAATAATCCCATTCAATTTTTTGTAAGCCAATAGTTTTTTTCAAGCCAATACTGATGATTACATTAATAACCATCAGTATATAACATATTTATATTGATGGATAGTCATATATCATCAGAAAAAATTTATTTATACTGACGGTTAAATAAAGTATTGATATAAGCATGATATATTCTGATGTATTAAAAATCTATCAATAAAAGTCTCTTTCACTAATAGAATTTAACCGTTAGTAAATAATTCATACAAAAAATTTTTTGTATGGATTATTGAAAGCGTTTTTTGACCGAAAACGCCTTTAATAATCCATTTTCAAAATTTTTTGAATGAATTATTGAAGACGTTTTTAGCCAAAACGCCTTCAATAATTTCATTCAATTTTTTGTAAGCCAATAGTTTTTTTGTTTTGAGCATATACTGACGATTACATTAATAACCATTAGTATAAAATATATTTATAATGACGGATAGTCATATACCATAAAAAAAAGTTACCAAAGCTGAGACATAACATCCAAAACCTTACTTTCACCCAAGTTCGATTTAAAAAAAAAAAAAAAAACTCAATCTAAATGATCTTTAATTAAAAGAAAGTGCACCAATTAAATTATAATGAATTGAAACCAATCGGATATGGGTTATTTTGTCATCTATATCTCAATTAACTTTTTTATTATAAAATTTATTTAATAAAAAAATAAAAGTAAAAAAATTAAATAAAAAGAAAACCCAAAAAAAAAAAATAAAAGCTTTAAAAAAACAAAGAAAATGAATAAAAAAAGGGAGTTGCCCACATGAACAGCTATGAAGGGATGGAATGCCTTAAATAAATCTCTAACTTGGTCTTATTTTTAAAATAAATCTTGACTCGATCTTCATTTTTTTAGAAAACGCA